AGCATTCCAGAGGACTGATTAAATATGAGGCTACAGAGAAGTTAACAAGCAATGGGCTCTTCTTTAATTTGTTGAAGAAACAGAACTTTATGGGCTCTCACTTGCTTTTGGGGCCAAAGACTTTCTGAACACTGAGATTCCGCCAACAATGCCACTTATTTTTCAGATTTTCCTAGGTAAGAGGAGAAAACAACAGTGAACTTGGTGGAAGGTCTGAAGTAGGATACCAGAGAGCTGGAATAAGGGCTGAGTGAGTTACCAGAATGAGCACTACATAGTCCCAGTTTTGAAGAGCTCAATGTCTAATGGGATGGATCAAAATGAACATGGATAACAGTAATACAATTTAGCCTAGGGGAAATATTCTTGTGTAAACAAATTGCCCTAAGAGCTGAGAAGAGGAGGAAATGATAAAGACTAAAGTGCAGGAAGGAGATAGAGACTGACTTTACAGGAAGAATACAATTTCTTTTCAGTTCAACAGAATCAGGAGCTGTTGACAAGGGAGTAGGAGGAGTCATGGAATCTCTTAGTAGCCCTGGGAATCCTGGTTGCACACAGGCTTTGCAGGTGAGATTGAGAATGACAGGTTTTAGCAGGTGAGTAGCGGCACTTTATGAAGACTCTTGAAGTTTTGAAGGGATTTAGCCCATATTCTTCAGATATGAGGAATTATTTTTCCTAAGCATGATATTAACCTGATTACATCTGTGCGTTAGAAGAGTTAAGGTGGACAGTTGGAGATAACTTAAAGAGAGGAAGAATGTAAGATAAGATGACACATAAAACCATTAATACAAATCAGGAGTATTTCTAACGTTTCCTAAAGATCTCTAGACTTGCTATAGGAGGGTAAAGTGCTTCAGGGCATACTTGAATATACTAACTCTTGAATATACTAACTCTTGTATCTCTCCTAATTCTCTGGGCTCCAGCTGGGCTGGAGCGATAGCACAGTGGTAGGGCGTTCGCCTTACAAGCGGCCAACATGGCCGACCCGAGTTCGATTCCTCCGCCCCTCTCGGAGAGCCCGGCAAGCTACCGAGAGTATTCGATATGCCAGACACAGTAAAAACAAAGTCTCCAATGGAGACGTTACTGGGCCCGCTCGAGCAAATCGACGATCAATGGGAGGGCCTTTATTTGAAAGTATATATATATATATATATATATGTATATATATATATATATATATAATGTACATATATATTTCTAATAATAGTTGTATGGAAATAAAATTGTTAATAATAGTTAATAATCAATCATGAAAAAACACAAATATGCATTGGGTTCCAGCAAGCCTTTGGCAATACTAAGAACACCCAACATCAAAGGATGAGCAAAAGGATTAGAGCATCCAGGATGCAGAAAGAGTATGCTGGAGTCCTCTCTGGGAGGTAAGTTAAGGTGCGAAATGGAAGATTACACTAAATAAAAAACAGATTTAATGCTTGAGTCTCTCCTTTTTATTGTTGCAGTATTATGATAGGGTAGGGAAGCTACCTGGAAACCTGTCTAAACACGTGAATGGATTAGGAAAATATGACAATCTTTCAATATGTGCATATTATGTTATCACATGTGTTTCCTTTAAGGTTACCTATGTGTCAGTTATATCTCAATAAAGCTAAGAAAAAGTGAATACAATATTAAAAGTATAACACAAACAAATCACAAATCATCCTTTTAATTGTCGATTGCCTTGAGCAGGCCCCAGTAACATCTCCTTCATCCTAGCCCTGAGATTATATTCAAGGCTCTTTAGGAGAATGAGACCCATCATTGTTACTGGTATTCGGCATATTGGGTACGACACAGGGAGTTTGCCAGACTCTGCCGTGTGGGCAGGCTACATTCGGTAGCCTGTCAGTTTGTCCAAAGTAGGAATGAGATAATAAGATGTCAGAATAGGATGTCGCGCGGCCGCAAATGCGGCCACGTGGTTCCGGGAGCTGGTTTTTATAGTCTCTGAGTCTTGGCCGCTGATGGGATTACACGGCACCAGGGGGCCATGTGGTGGGTGTGACCCCCGCCTACTGGAATTTGGAGGATCTGGGTGGAGGATGCTCAGCCCAAATCCGAGTAAGCTTGGAGATCTCGGCCCCAGAACCCACGTGACTTTGTCCCTCTGCCAGTACCTTCATGCGGAGAGTGGTCTCAGCATGGTGGTGGCTGGTCCTGGAGGTCTTTGGCTGCTGGAGCCCTGGTTGGGGCGGGGAGGAAAGCTCAACCCGCTTCCCTCCAAGGGGCCCCAGCGGCGAGGACAGTCAGGCGCGGGGGCAGGAGACTGGACTGTTCTTCCGGGAGCTGGTTTTTATAGTCTCTGAGTCTTGGCCATTGATGGGATTACATGGCGCCAGGGGGTCAGGTGGTGGGTGTGACCCCCGCCTACTGGAATTTGGAGGATCTGGGTGGAGGATGCTCGGCCCAAATCCGAGTAGGCTTGGAGATCTCAGCCCCAGAACCCACATGACTAAAAGTAAAACACAAAATAATTATACAACTTCCATTTATTCTTTGGAATAGCTAGACTGTGCTCAGGGCTTACTCCTGGCTCTGTGCTCAGGGGACCATATGTGGTGCTAGAGATTGAACCAGAGTCAGGCGCATGTAAGTCAAGCTCTATTTTACTATGCAAACCCTATTATACAGTTTATTAAAATTCAGAATTTTGCACAATCTACAGAGTACACATCTATTATCAGGAAGCACACATGATTACAAATTTTTCTCTACAGAAAAAAAATTATATCTTTTTTACAAAACTACTTTCTGTTTTCTGTCTCTATGCTATTTCATTAAGTTTCCAAATCACACTCAGTAAAACATCAAGTTTCTGGGCCAACTTGCTCTATTACAATGTTGCTAGCTATGAAAATATCAAGACATGTACAAGTTAGTTTGTAAATCTCTACTTTTTCATGAGAATAGGAAACAGGCACAGATATCTCCAAAACTCACTTTCCCTTCTTTCCACAACTGCTCCTGAATCACAGGTTCACATCGAGTCAAAAACTATACCTGAATCCTGTGGATACAATTTGTCATCATGATTTTGTCATTACCACCTCATGGCCTTTGCCATTTATTTTACTTGTAAACTATAATGACCACAGTCATTTTTTTTCAGCCCAAACTTCTTCATGTTTAGGCAATTAATATGAAATCTTTCTTTATATTTCAGTCTCACAGTTTCAGAGCCTACCCTGATCGCCTTAAGGACCCAATTGTTTCTACTTGTCCTTTCTGTGTATAATGTTTTATCTTAATTTTATAGCTATTTATAGTATAGTTATACTAGTAGGAATTATTATTCTTATCTGTACTGTTATATAAGATCCATGAATATGAAACTGTGTCCCCCTAATTCACCATTATATCCATAAAACTTAAATCAATAAGTAGTAAGATAAAAGATGTTCAAGAACTAGCCCTAAAAGGAAGGGTAATTTGACCCAGCAATACCACTCCTGGGAACATATCCCAGAGAGGCAAAAAAGTATACTCGAAGTGACATCTGCACTTGTTTGTTCATTGCAGCACTCTTTACAATAGCCAGAAACTGGAAGAAACCTGAGTGCCCGAGAACAGATGACTGGTTAAAGAAACTTTGGTACATCTACACAATGGAGTACTATGCTGCTGTTAGAAAAGGTGAAGTCATGAAATTCATATACAAGTGGTACTACATGGAAAGTATCATGTTAAGCGAAATGAGTGTGAAAGAAAGGGGCAGACATAGAAAGATTGCATTCATCTGGGGAACATAAAGTAACAAAATAGGAGACTAACACCCAAGAATAGCCAAGATAAGTACCAGGAGGATTACTCCATGGCTTTGAGGACAGCCGCACGTGCTAGGGGAAAAGGCAGCTCAGATAGATAAGGGAACACCAAATAAAGGGTGTTGCGAGGTTCCTCTCAGGATGGGAAATGTGTGATGAGAGTAGACTATAGGCAGAACAAGATTGCCACTCAATGTCTCTTTTGCAAACCACAGCACTCAAAAGGAGAGAGATAACAAAAGGGAATGCCCTGCTACAGAGGTAGGTTGGGATGGCGAGCAGGGAGTTGGAGGGATACTGGGACTGGTGGTGGTGGAGAATGGGCACAGGTGGAGGGATGGGTATTCGATCATTGTATAACTGAAACCCAAGCACGAAAATTTCTAAGTCTACAACTGTACCTCATGGTGTTTCACTAATAAAAATTTTTTAAAAAATAACTAAAAGGACTGGTATTAGGCAGACCAGCTTCCTCAGGCCAGCCTGTAAGATTAAAAAGGAAAGGACATCCAGATCTTGAGTGGTTACCTCCTCCCTATAAACTGGAGGTCCTCTCCACCACCTACTTTGTACGAGACATATCCACACTGAACATCATGGAGCACGAGGTTGATAAGCAAAATGGTCTGGGGCTCAGTTATGCTATGGGCAAACATGATACATTTGTGCAAGGTAGCTCAGAGCTTCCTGATCACAAATGAATATACCTGGATTTAGAAAAGAAAATGTGTTTCTTCAGAGCAGCACATTCAGATTTTGTTCTTCCAATTAAAGAACAACAAAATGTTGCCCAGGGCTGCACCTATCAGTTGTACGTTCCACTGTAAGTAGTGCCGACAGGGCACAATGCAAACCAGTCATGCTGCTGTTCACACTAAGTGACTTCATTCAGTGTCTTGTTTTCTGTTGCCATAACAGTACTGGCTTTGTTATGTAATTAAGTGACATTATAAAATCAAATCTTATATAATCTGATTATGATTTTTGTCCTCTCTGGAATGACTTACACTTTTTTTAATAAAGAAATTTTTAAAAATGTATTCTTTGGTAGCGGGGTTGAGTTCGCGGGGAGGGCGGGGGGGGGGGGCCACCGGGGCACGCCGGGCCCGGAGGGAGGCGTCTCGGGCCCGGAGCTTTGGGCTGGGCCTCGTGGCCGGCCGGCTCCGACTCGCCCCGCGTCTGGGGGTGGCGGGCGTCGAAGGGGGGAGGGGCGGGGTGAGGAAAAGACGAGCTGAAGCCGGGCCCGGAGGGGGACGCGCCGAGCGGCGGGTGCAGTCATGGCAGACTACTGGAAGTCACAACCAAAGAAATTCTGTGATTACTGCAAGTGCTGGATAGCGGACAATAGGCCTAGTGTTGAATTTCATGAAAGAGGAAAGAATCATAAGGAAAATGTGGCAAAGAGGATCAGTGAGATTAAACAGAAAAGCTTGGATAAGGCAAAGGAAGAAGAAAAAGCATCAAAGGAGTTTGCTGCAATGGAGGCGGCTGCCCTGAAAGCATACCAAGAGGATTTGAAAAGGCTTGGCTTAAAGTCAGACATTTTGGAGGAAAGCGTATCACCAGTAACCAGCACTGTCCCACCTCCTCCTTCATCAAGTCAACCGAAAGAAAAAAAGAAAAAGAAAAAAGACTCTTCAAAGGACCGATGGATAGAAGGCTTACCTTCTGAGGGTTACCATTACTATTATGATCTTACCACAGGAGCAACTCAGTGGGAGAAACCTGAAGAATTTCAAGGAAGCCTAAAAAAGACAGCATTGAAGACTGTTTGGGTCGAAGGAGTAAGTGAAGATGGGTATACCTATTATTATAATGCAGAAACAGGAGAATCCAGATGGGAAAAACCTGATGATTTTATTCCACTATCTGGCGGTTCACCTTCTAGTAAGGTCAGCAAAAAGGCACATGGCACCCTAGAAGATTCCAAATCAACAGATTCACATAGTGATTCTGATGAGAAAAAGGAAGCAGAGAAAGGAGAAGTCTCAACAGAAACACAAAAACAGAAAATAAAGTTTACGATAAAAAAGAAAAGTAGTAATGATAAAGGAAATGAATCAGGAACACAAAAAGGTAGAAAAAGCCAGGAACAGAATTCATCCATTTCTAAAGAAGAAAAGCCGAAAGTTCATAAAAAAACAACTCCTACTCCATATGGACAATGGCAAGAAATTAAACAAGAAACTGAGTCTCATGAAGAGGTAGATTTGGAACTTCCAAGCACTGAAAATGAGTATGTGACATCTTCAGAAGTTGATGCTGATGGGGAACCCGACGTGGTATTTAAAGAAAAAACAGTCACCTCCCTTGGAGGCATAGCAGATGGAGTAGCCCCGGTCTTCAAGAAGAGAAGACTTGAAAATGGGAAATCTAGAAACTTAAGGCAACGAGGTGATGATCAATAGTTGTGATTTTGAACAGAATGGAAACTATACATCTTAAAACCCCTCTGTGTTTGTTTCTGAATACTTCTGTGCTTAAAAGTTTAGATTTATTCTAAATGTATTTTCTGTAAATTTAAAATAAATCTTTCATGTGAAACTTATTTTTCTTCCTAAAATGGAAGGTCTGCCACATGGCATTGTAATATGATGTATTATGTTCAGTGGCTAAAAATTGCTAATTATGTCTAAAATAGATACTATATCTTTAAAAATGGGAAAGCAAGGTCTTTATTCTTTCTTGTATGAGCATACTTATGTAGCACTGAAACTGAATTATTTCTGTATATTGGTGATAACTTTTGTTATCTAAGAAGAATCAGAACACCTACGGGAAGATTCCCACAGAGTGCTTAATTAATTTCTGAGGATCCTGTTAGGAATTTGATAGAATGTGGGCACATTGGTTTATCTTACTCTGAGGAAAAGTTCAAGGACCATGAACCAAAGGTATTTCAAAGATAGTAGTAGGAACTAATACACAGATGGGACCAAAGGTAGAAATAAGTCTTTTCCGAGTTCGAGTTAAAGCTTATTTCGCTATTTTTACTTTGAACAAGGCAAAGTAGTTCCAGAGTAAACTTTGGAATCTAAGGGGATATAAAGTTGTGTACATCATAACCCTTTTCTTATGGTTTCCCAGCCTTAACAGTCCTCTTTCCCTCTCAGTCATGTACCCCAGATAGCAGCGTTATATGTACTGTGAAGATAATTTTTTTGGGCAGGGGAAGATACTTTTTAAAGTTTATTAAAATATATACTAATGAAGACATACACCAAATTCGTATTGGTCCTACCATCAGTAAGTTTCAAGTGTTCCCTTAGACAAATTGGAAATTTCCTGTTTTCTGGTTAAATTTCTGAAGTGGTAGAATTTCAGTAATGTAATCTATTTTGAGTTAGGTTCCTTCCTTTATACTCAAATCCATTAAATTATATTTTTTATAAAGTTACAGTAGTCAGCATTTGGTAGTAGATATTTATCTTTTTAAGGTTGCTAGTATACATGTAAAAAATGTTAGCTTATTAAAAAACTATGTACAAATAAATATTTGGATTATTTTTTTTCTTCTGACATCAGAGACAATTTTTCATTGGTGAGATAGTATTTAGAGATTAATCTTAATGGTTTGTCAGTCTATTTGGGTAATCCGGTTGTCATCTACTAACCTGTGCATTTTGACTCTCAGTTTATAAGCCAACAATATGCTGCTCTTTTACCCACATCTAGCTCCTACAGATGGGCAACTGAAGATGTTTTTAAAGCTATAACTTGCTGTATTAAGTATCTTACCTTTAAACTGTTTCCCTTTCCTTTATAATAATAAGGTACTCTGAAATGTTCGAACAGAGATCTCCTTACAATCTCTTTTTTTTGTTTTGAGGATGTACCTGGCAGTACTGGGGGATCCATTTGCAGTGCCAGGGATTCAACTCAGTTGGAAAGTACACTTGGCGAGTGGTAGGGCACTGTACTCTCTCTGGCTCTCTTTCTGTTTTTTAAACTGAGGTAACAACTGATTTTTGTCAGTGGCTTTCAACCTCTCTATACTGGCAGACCAGTGGTTGAAAATACTTATGTGTGTGCAACCGTGATTTGATTCTTGATAGAGAAAAAAAAATGCCCCCCAAACACAGGGGGTGGGGGGGCCTGAGAGTTGTATTTAGGGTTTTTGGTTTTTTATCTTATTTTAGGATTTTTTTAAAATTTGATTTCTTCCCAAATTCTTGTGGGATTTGTTGTTGTCAAGACAACTAATAGCTAGTTGCTCAGTGCTCAGGGGACACTCCCAGTGATACTGTATGCTCAGGACCAGCCTGTTGCCGGGAACAAACCCAGTGCATGATCTACAGCCCTTTAAGCCACCTCTGACACCCTGACCTCAAAACATATACACACATTTAAGTTGTCACACACTCCTATGCCACCAAAGTGTCAAAATCCCTCCTCCACCCTCTTGACTCCCCACATTATCCTCTTTGTCTCCCGTGAACCCCCTGACATCCTTAGTTCTTCAATCTGAACATGAGTTGACTATAGATTTGTGTCTTTGCTTTCTTTATACCTCATAAATGAGTGAAATCATCTTATAATTTATCTCTTTCCAACTTACCAACTGACTTCACTTAGCTCCATATCCTGCGAGATTTGTCAAGGTTTCATCTTTGTACTTTTTATTGAGATGGCATTGGTCTACCAGAGTAGAGCTATTTATTATGTTTGGGGAAGCATGGTATCACGCCACACCTATTGCTGAAGTGCAGAGGGCCCTCTCAGCCCACTCTCCCCAGTGTTAGAGATCTCGTTTTGGTGGTTATAGTCTATAAAGATTTGTTTTCACTGGAAAAAAAATGTATTCTTTGGCAGAGGAGATGATCAAAGGGTTAACACATAATCCATATGTGAGAACCCCAGGTCAATTCCGAGCCCTTATGGTTCCCTAAACACAGCTGAAGTAGCCCCTAAACCTCAAACTCAGTGTAACTCAAAATTTAAAAATTAAAAAAAAAAGATGAGGAGGAGGAGGATAAGTAGGTGGAGGAGGAGGAGGAGGTGAAGGAGGAGGTGGAAGAGGAGGAGGAGGAGCAGAAGGAGAAACAGGAGCAGGAGGAGGAGGAGGAGAAAATATAGACTTTATCATCCAATGAGTCTCTGGAAGAACTGATACCAATGATTCTGTTCAAAAAAAATTTTTTGCTATATTATCTAACAAAATCTGAAGAAACCGCAACTTATCAAAAGAAAGAAAGAGCCTACAAATGTATGGTCATCTTATAAAATTGGGGAGAGTTACAAAAACACTTGTTTGCATATAACAGCATTTAAAACATCAAAGACAATTGGGACAGAGAGATAATGCAGACAGTAAGAAATTTGTCCTGAAATGGGCACTGGTGGAGGGATGGTTATTTGATCATTGTATAATTGAAACCCAAGCACAAAAATGTGTAAGTCTGCAACTGTACCTCATGATGTCTTACTATTAAAAATTAAAAAAAGGGAGATTTGTCCTGTACCCAACTGACCTGAGTTGAATCTCTGGCACCACGTATGGTCCCCTGAGCCCCACCAGGAGTGATCCTTAAACAAGGAGCCAGGAGTAAGCCATGAGCATCACTGAATGTGGCCCAAAAGTCAAACCAGAATAGTGAAAACCAATTTTACAGAGAGATAGAAGAAGATAGATACATGCATCTACACATACAGAGTGATGATATGTCTATAGAGATATACCACGCATGGATACAGACACATGGGTGTTTGAGGAAAGACAGGCAGAGCTTATAGGTTATTAAAACCCAACCTCTATAAGGACATTTAAAATTCATTATAATATTATGAATTTTTTATTTGATTATCAGGACATATCTGTAAATAGAGCAGAAATAAATATTTAGTTGCTACCATTTAATAAACAAGAACTCAGTCACCTGGCCTTTTCCCAACGCCTCATAATTAAAAGGAGAAAAATGCATGAGGATGCCAGTTCATTCTTTCTCCACACTGTTTTTCATATGTCCTTGAACCCAAAGCTTATCTAATAAACAAAGTCCCTCCTTTATGTCATCACTCACTTAAAGTTGGGGCATCTGAATGAAATAACTTTTGTTACATTATTATGTATTTTATTTGCAAGTTAGAAGATTTTCTGTGGAGTGCGTTTCTAAGATGCTAGTTCAGCAGAGTTTAGGGAAATGTATTCATTTTTGACTTCAGCAGTCCTGAGATAGTGCACGATTTGCTGTGTCACCTGTATTCACAAGCTGTAGCTTATGGCACTTGAGCCCAGAAATCACTTCCATGTATTATTTCTGAGGTTAAACTAACAATTGGGACTTTAAATCTCTTTATATTACTCTTCTTAGATATGCAAACATTAATTTCCAGAGTACTGTTCTAACTTTTATATTTCAATATTCCAGATGTCTTTAACCCTAGTTGAAGGAAAGAAAGGATTCAATTTTTGTTTTTGTCTTATCTTTTAGAAAAAGGTTAGAATAGGAAGAGATTTTTTTTTTATCCGTTAATGGAAAGTGGAAAAGAAAGAAGTATTTGGCCATGGAATTGAGGGACAGAAAAGAGATCATGAGAGAGAGAGAGAGAGAGAGAGAGAGAGAGAGAAAGAGAGAGAGAGAGAAGACAGCGACAGACAGACAGACAGACAGATGGAGAGAGAGACAGAGATTATAGTTTGAAAGGGCTAATGTGATACTATTGTCAAATATGATACTAAATATACTTTGTCGCTTTTTCTAGTAGAGGAATATTCAAGATCATAATCACGATCATCCTGTTGTTCATCAATTGCCTCGAGCAGGCCCCATTAACGTCTCTTTTGTCCCAGTCCTGAAATTTTAAAAAGTGCCATATTCAAGGTTCTATCTGGGTTAGGAGAATGAGACCCATCATTGTTACTGGTATTTGGCATATTGGGTACGCCACAGGGAGTTTGCCAGACTCTGCTGTGTGGGCAGGTTACATTCGGTAGCCTGCCAGGTTGTCCAAAGTAAAAATGAGATAATAAGATGTCCGGGAGCTGGGTTTTATAGTCTCTGGGTCTTGACCGTTGATGGGATTACACAGCGCCAAGGGGCCAGTTGGAGGGTGTGACCTCTGCCTACTGGAAGATGGAGGATCTGGGTGGAGGATGCTCAGCCTCGATCCAAGCAGGCTTGGAGATCTCAGCCCCGGGACCCGGTTGTGGCTGGTTCTGGAGGTCTTGGGCTGCACGCGCTCTGCTTGGGGCGGGGAGGGAAACTCAACCCGCCCCACTCCAAGGGCAATTGAAATTCCTCGCCAAGGAATATTATGACCTTTTTTTAAATGAAGTGCTATGAACAAAATAGTGCAGTTTGGGCTAGAGAGATAGAGTGGGTAGGGAGAGCATTTGCCTTGCATACAACCTACCCAGGTTCAATCCCAGGCATTCCATATGGTCTCCTGAGCCTGCCAGGAGTGATTCCTGAGTGCAGAGCCAGGAGTAAGCCCTGAGCACTTCTGGGTGTGACCCAATCCGATCCCCATAGTAGAGCTCAGTTTATGAGTGAGTCCCAGTAATATTTTTTAATTGGGGATGGTGAAAGGAAACATTTGTGAAGTACTTGAACTTGATGGTCCCTGGATGAGTAACAATGTGTGTATTCATCCATTACAGTTTTCAAGACATCCCAGAGAGGTGGGAAAGGCAAGTTCAACACCTCCCAGGTCATAAAAGTCATCTGACTACAAACTTGTTTGGGTAGACAAGTCATATTACTTAAAGGGTAATAGTGCATTCTTATTTAATTTTAATCACTAGCT